GCAACAATCAGGTCATTTATCCTTTTCTTGGCCTCACTCAAAGCCTGCAGGGTTGGAGAAATCGTGGTACATTTTAGTTACAGGTATCGACATTTTCCTAAACTCACAGAAATACACAAGATTTATTCAGTGTTCTGGAACCATTTAATGTGCATCAGTCTGTCCAGTAATTCTACACAGGCTCTCTGACAGCAGCCAGATGTGTCTGTGAACAATGTCGTTCCAGTCTGGAGATGCCCTCGGCCACGGGCAGGGGTGAGTCTACCTGCATCCCACTGGTTAGCTGCCTGTACGTTGGTTTTTTTTGAAAGGGTTTGTTCTCTGCACTTTCGGGATGGGGAATGGGTCCTGTGGTTTGCACTTATATGCCAAATGACAGTTCAGAGTAACTGGTCCTCTTGGAGTCACTGAGTGGGGATCTTGAGGGTGCTCTATCTGAATTAAACTGAATCACAGTTTGTCCATAATGGACATCACGTTCGAATATAAGAATGTCTAGAGCACAGGATACCATAGCATACCATAAGATACCACAGATCGCAGGTTAAATGAGCACAAAGTGCAGAAATCAGGATACCATAGGTTGCAGGTCTATGATTGATTTTGTAATCATCAGATCTGCAGCCATATATTCTGGACACTTGGGTGAAGAGAGGAATTGAGCTTTCAGCTGATCACTACTTTTGGTGAGTTAGATCAGGTGGCAGGGGAGGATGCTGGACAGGCCTCGTGCACCCAAACCTATAGTGAAGGAGCAAGGTGTGCTGGGAGCGCATTGTAGAGGCCCTGATCCACGAGATCTACAACTCTCACCTCCAGCAGAACTTTGACAACATTCTCAGGGATGCTGGAACATTGAGTCCAAATGGACCATGTTCCACATCTCCATCGCTGAGGCTGCTGTAAGGAGCTGTGGCTGCAAGGTGATTGGTGTCTGTCATGGTCGTAATCCCTTAACCAGATGGAGGACACTGGAGGTGAAAGGAACCATCAAGCTGAAGGAGTCCTATCAGACCTGGTTAGCCTGTGGGACTTGAGAGGCAGGTATTGCAGGCCAAGTAGAATGTGACTGAAAACATTGGGCGTGGGAGGAGTTTGGTAAGACCAGGGAAAAAGACTTTTGGTTCTGGGTATGCAACACAGGAGGGGACAGTGGTTGTCTAACCACACGGTATGTAGTGGGGGTGGGACACTGTTCACTTCAACTGAGGATCTAGTTGGGTGGGGGAAGGAATGCTTCGAGGCTCTTCTTAATCCCACTGACACATCTACTGTATAGGAAGCAGAGTCTTGGGACAAAGGGAGCTACTCACCAATCATGGAGGGCAAGGTCACTGAAATAGTAATGTGTTACAAACTAACTGCAATAGTATTGCATTTTTCAGCAGCTAAATTTATCACTCCACCATTTTCCTCCAATGCACACCGATGAAAGTGCTAACTGCAACATGAAGTTACAATTACAATACAACAATTATCTGCACATGAGTTGGATAGAAAATGTTTGAATGTTGAACATGTTTTTTTCTCCACTATCAGCTGATTTTAGTTTGTGTGGGAGGAGGAAAAAGATGGAACGGTACATCGATACAGATTGTGAAGAATGGAAATATGGACATTAGTTTTTGTTTTATTGCACAAAAGAGCAAGATCGTGGTGGCAAAGTGCAAACTGTGTTCAGGACAGAAACTACATTACACTGCTAACACAACTTTGGCTCTTTGCAGGCATCTGCACAGACAGTATGCTAACGCAAAGATCATATTGTGTGTCCACATCAGAATAGGGATTTGTGTTTGTCTGTGTTGCTGTAGCCTGAGCTTTATATTATTAACTGGTGGCAGTGCAGACATGTGAAGATTTACACATAGGCTGCAGCAAGATGCATTAAGCACAGGAGAGACAGGAAGAACAAAAATGATGTCTTGTTGGTGAACTAAAGGGCAGAATTCCTCATTAAAATTGTTGTGGGGGACACAGTTCATTTGGCATGTCAACTGTTTACCTTTCTGTAAAAGTCACTGTTTTTCAAAAACAACCTTTGCGAAAGTCTAGGGACTCTAAGTTTTTGTAAAAAGATTTTTGTTTTAGACAAGAGGTCGGCAACCTTCAACATCAAATCAGCCATTTTAACCCCTCGAATACCAAATACTGGGAGAAAAAGAGCCGCACAGGCCTGAAACCTGAAAAAGGTTATGCCTGAAACATTTAACATTTTCTTAGGTTTATTTTTCCACCCAAAGCTTGTGGGAGCTACAGCTGAGGGAGCCGTCTTCTGTTTTAGACCACACAGGCTTTGATTTGTTTTGTTCTCTGATTAGCACAAAGATTTGCAGTGTGACTTTGGGCACATTGCTCGATCCAGATTGCCTTGCTACAATAGGCAGGATATGTTTGATCGTTTTCCATCCATCCATGTTTGTGCAAAAAATTAAATATTGTTGGAGTAAAAAAATAAATGAATAAATGCGTACCTTATTGTCGTCGGCACACAGCTGAAACACTGTGGGCTCAAACTCTTCCTTCTCCAGAACTAAGTCAACAGAGCTGGACTGATCCGACCCGGATACCAGACCTGACATGAACTGGCGGAATGATTCTGAAACAATAATAATATCCAACGTGAATCCATCAACATTTTATGTTATGATCAGAAGTTTCCAAACACTCATTGTGAGCATGAATGTTGGGGTAATTTTGGCCTTTTAATGATTTCTTTTAACTGTTTTTTCACAGCGTGAAGTGATTGTAGAGCAAACACATTTAATGACAAAAACTGGATGTAATTTGAATTTGTTTTTCATTTTCTCTAATCCACTCGTGGTCATAAGTATACACACAGGCCCAAATATTTACGTACACTCATTTAAATATTTTAATAAGTGGTGCTCAAGGTCCTGCAGTGTCTTCATGCCCATGATCAGTGAATGCAACCTTCTGACTGACCGAATGCTCATTTTTATATTTTAGCATTTACTGTATCTTTCACCCATTCCTTCTGGCTATAGTTCATCTTATGTGTTCATGGAAGTGTGTAAAGCCCCAATTCCAAAAAACATAGAAAACAGATACTGAGACATTTAATTAATTTAATTAATATTAATGAGACATTGAAAGAACACTCCCTATCAAATGCATCATTGCCTTCACCACAATGACCAGGAGGGAAATGTAAAACTTAATTTAAAAACACATCACAGATATGTAGAGACTTACATCTTCTGTATCGAACCACAGAGATGTACAGATAGTTAAATTATTTTACTCAAATTATTCTGAAATTTGATTTTGGTCAATAAAAGAGCAAAACATGGTCTTTTAGGAGAAATTTACTGGTACTTTTTAAGCCACCATGATCAAAATGAAATGGATAAGTAAATAATTCCCCATCTACAGTTGGGTTTCCCTACCAAACAACAGCAACATACCTTTGAATTTGCCAAAGACGCTCTTCTCCTCCACCGTCTCTCCCTGTCTCTTCTTCATGCTCATGTGGAAGTGGTTCAGCATGGCCGTCTGGAAGATCAGGATCTTCACGCTCTGAACAAACCTCGGCTGTTTCTTCCTCACAAACTCCACCACTGCATCCACCATGGCGTCAGCCACCGCTGAAGGGCTGGCCCCTCCCTGACCTGACAGCAGACAAGGACCAAGTGATGATGATGGTGATGATGAAAGGATGGAAAGAGGATGAAGAGTACACTTTGTGAAACTAAACCGCAACAATCTCACATCTGGCTGCAACATTCATTACAGCTCGAAGATGAAAGAGTTGGACAAAACCAACAAACTGATGGTTCTGGTGTAATCTAAGATCTCATGGACTCTGTAGAAGGGATCTGGCTAGTTTGCGTGTTTCAGCTAAATATTAATTTGGTGTGAAACAAACTCTGATCAGACCTTTGCCACAGTTCCTCATGCAGTAATGACCTCTGCACTGCTGCACAGCAAATCAGTGAATACCATAAATAATATGTACAGACCTGTTCCCAGGGCTGGGAAGGCCACAGAGCTGAACTTGTTCTCCTCACAGAACTTCAGCACTGAGTAAACCATGTCTTTAATGTTTCCAGGGTCGTTCTGCCCGACGATGTGGATGATGTTCCTGCTGGGCAGCTGCCCGGCTGACGTCAGGATCATTGCATGAGGCTGAGTCATGGAGCTCACTGCAGAGAGGAAGCACATGAGGCTTATAACACAGTGTGGCAGAATTGGTATTTTCCAGTCCAAAGCTTTACACGTTTGAAATATTTTAAAAAGTATTCCAATCTGATCCATAATTCTGAAATTTTATTTTTCACATCGGAACCTGAAATTTGGTAAAAGGTAGTAACAGCAAGGTAGTGACTTTACAGTAAAGATATTGATTGATATTGATTGTTAGTCTAAGAGATGGGCCAAACACAGCTGGACAGGGCTGTAGAAGTGCATCAACCCAGCAACAGCACTGGTATATGTGCCTTTGTGTGAGGAAGAGGAGCACTGTCGAAATCCTGCAAAATGACCTCCTGCAGGCTACTTGCACATGTTTCTATGTGAGTAGCTGTACAAACTGTGGAAACATTTCAGTAAATGCAAAATTGCAAAGCGTTTAAGTGTCTTATCATCTACAGTACATTCATTTTTACGAGTAGGTGGGGGCCACTAGAGGCTAGAAGTGTTTGAGTAACCCTCCACCAGTTTGAGACTTGCTGTGACCCTCTGCATGCATGTATCAGATGGTTTATGCTCATAAAGTGTTGAATTGTATGGAATAAAAGATTGTTGATTGAGCATTTATACACCGAGTATTGTCCTTCCTTCAGCCCAAAGATCATAGAATTGGGAGGATTTAACACCTAAAAACAGTTGAGCAAGAAATTGTTCCAGAATTTATTAAATGATGAAAATCTTGCAAATAGTTTTGACCAGTTTATCTCCAAAGGAGACGACCTTTTCTAGGGCTATTACTCCTCCCGAGTGCCAATATAAACTGCATTTACAAGGCCATACTCTTTTTTCAGCTGCTCCCTTTAGAGGTCCTCTACCTGCTCTCTACTCTCACTACAGAGCACAGTGTCTGCAAACATCACATATCATTTTCTTAATGATATCAGTAAACTTCTCCATTCTTCAGGTGTCCTCTCATGTGTCAAACAGTCTCATAAAAATGGCTCTCTGTCCTACACCTCTCCATACCTGCACACGTATCTGCACCAATCACCTTTCCAGTCTTTATTCTCTTCATAGCTGACATCACTTCCTTACTAATTGTCTGCACTTCCTTATTCACTAACTGCTCTTCATCATTTTTTACAAGTTAATTATTTAACTTGGATATCTGTGAAAAAAGAAATTAAAGATGCTGATCATAGAGGAATCTTAACAAAAGAATTTGATGCGATTAAAAATCCATTAGAGACACAGCACTCGTTTGGAAGTTATATGTACATTTATAAATAAAAGCTATAACATCAACATTAGTAAAACTATTACATTTGTGATCTCAAAGTGATCAATATTAGGACGACGTCTTTTCCTTTCATATTTCAGTGATTCTGTGTCTATTCCTCTAGAGTTTTGTAATGTTTGCTGAAACTGGAAAAGTATTGAACATGTCTATATCCTGATAAATGGTCCAGTTATTGAAAGTTGAAAGTAAAATTCAATTTCAATTCAATCATTTTTTAAAGGTTTAAATTGGTAAATATCTGACCTTTAAGAGGCATCTTGAAGAATTAATAAAGATGTTAAATATGTTAGCTCATTCCTTCCATGTGAAGCTCTACTTACCTTGTCCCAGTCTTTGTTTGACCTTATTTTTATGATTGTAATCGTATATGGTACAAAGCGTCTCCTACTCATCTCAACAGATTACAGACTTTACATAAAGCAGGTATACGAGCCATGACACAGTCCACAGAAGATGCTCTGATCCTACAAACTTCTGACGTTAACTTTCATAATGTCTGTGTCGTGTGTAATATGGCATTAAGACTGAACAGCAGACTCACACACAACACAAAGGGAAGATAATTTTTGAGTGGAAAGTAATGCAAACGTAAATGTACGAGTTTGTGTTAAGACAATATGGAATGAGCTTTGAAACACTTTATAAATGTTAACCACTGTCATCAACCACCTTTAACAGGGATTTAATAAACTGCTACTAAAATATGTTTGATTCTGAACCCTGTGTAGCAAATATAGCTTTGAACTTTAAACATAGCGCAATATTTAATGTTCATACTTAAATTCACACAACTATTTTCGTGTACGACTGTCTAGATCCATTGGATTTGTGTTATTTATTTAGTGATTTAGGTTGGCATAGTGTGTACGGTGTATGTTGGGAATGATGTATTTCCTGTATATCATCTGATATCTACGATTCTGTTTATGAGCTCTGGACAGTTTTCAGGGAACCTATTTCACAAATAACTACTTTACGTGCTGTCACGTTTGATTTGTGAACAAACTGAAACAGACTTCAGGGTTTTGAAATTAATAAATTTTCAGTTTTAACTGCCTGGTGATGCTGAAAAGGGAGTCAAATGTGCCGTTCCATGTAGAATAGAGTAGAGTAGAATAGACCTTCATCATCAGTGTACATGTACAACGAAATTGTAGGCACACACCGAACTGCGCACACTCTCGCTCCACTGTTATTCCAGCGCCGTCCAAGATCGCCTTCGACACTCCTGAGAAAAGATAAGAGGAGAGCAGTAAGTCAGACGTTACACTGACTTTCTACAGTTGAATACAGTCTTTGTGTTTTCAGTACTCAGAAACACTCACCTGCTTTAAGGTTAAAGGTCTGATTGGACGAGTTGACAATGACATCACTGGTCTCTTTGGTGATGTCACCTGACGACACCTCTAAGGCGAGCTGACCCATCTGCATCTGGTACACACCGAGGGAGGTGGACAAGACTGGGCCAAAAGTGTCTGAAACAAGCACACGCAGACTTTCAGTGGATGATTTTAGACCTGCGATTTTATCTGGAGGCTCAAAATAACACCTGTGACTAAGAATCTGTAAATAATGAGGCCTTTTCTGATCACTCTAATTAAATATCTCAGCTGATTTGTCTTAAATGTGTTAAAACAAGAATTTTCAACTGAATAGAATTGATGGGGTATATCGGTTAGAAAAAATTTTTCCCTCTTCTGCCTCATACCACTGGCCATCTGAGTCCAGCTCATAATGTTTTTAACGTAAAGCTAAAAAGTGACACTTGTTGCATAACCTTAACCCATCGTCTATTTACATCATAAAGACACGAGTTGTTACTGATGGTCGTATCAGGGCTGTTCTTATAAAACTGTGACTGTCATCATGTTTCTATGACTTAACTAAACTCTATTAAATCATCATATAGTGGTTTAATATTAAATAATCACTCACTGTAAAGTTTAAAGGACTTCTTACCTGAGGAGTGTTGTGATTGGCTGACAGGCTGTTGAACTGGTAGCTCATTAAAATCATGCCGCTCATGCTGGACGTTCCTCTGACCGGTGAACTCTTGGGTGAAACACTGACCAACAACAATATAACTTAGATGTTACTGCTATAACTGCAGCTCAATGAATTGATAGGTAACAGTTAGACTTATGTTCACACATTACATCATTTTAAACCTCACAGCAGTTTTAATTGGATTTTAATACAAGTAAATTCTAAAAGTAATTATTTGATATAGTCTGATTTTGTCTGTTTCTAGTTCTTATTGCTTCCTGTTGCTGTATTTGCAGGCTGAGTTAATTAAACCTTCTCATCCTTCTCAAACCCGTTTCATGTGATAAACAGTGTGTACTGTGTGTTACTCTGTGCAGCACTAACAGGGTGGGTTTGCTCGTCTCGAGTGCTCACTGTCAGAACATGATAAACACTCTCAGCTCCTATCAGAGTCACAAACTCACATCCACGGTTTGGCTGTCACTGGGGTGAACGACGATCACCACCTCTCTCAGACAGCGAGGATTTCTGCTGCTGCTGAACGAGCGGATCTCCCTCAGCAGGAGTTTGGACACCAGGGCTCTGGGGAAGCTCAGGTTTCCTGTCCCGATGGCTGGGAAGGACAACGATGCCATCTGACGTTTCTCAGCCTCCACCAGACAGCATCTGATGATGGACGTTAACTCCTGACAGAGATGAGACATAAAGTGAGGCTGGACTTCAGTGACGGGTTATAAACAGTACGGTGTATATGTTTGTTTGTTTTAAAGAATTTTAATCACTTCAAGATCTTGGAGAACATGTTTCCATCACATGCTGTGGCTGAATTTACTTTTTGTTGCCACTAGGTGCCGCTGAAGCTTCTAAAACTCTCTAATCAAAGTGCTGCATATTCTCTAAAATGTCTCTAATTGAGTGTGTTTAACTGAAGAATGCTAACTAAAGCCAAACTTTGGACGTGGCTTCATAACAAGCTTAATGCTGCATTACCATAGAAACGGTATCAGACACACGATGAATGTGGAGCAGAAGAGGATC